TTCCAAGCCCCATCCATCCCTGAGAAGAGCTGTGTCACCTCCTTTCAGCTGACTGCAGGGTCCAGCTGCTGGCACATGGTTGCCTTTGAGCAGTCCCATTGCCATTTGCCTCTGCTCCTGATAAATCCTGTCGAACCATCTCTCTGTCTTTGGGGTTATAAATACCTGTGGTCAGAGCTAAACCCCAGCCCTGTGGGGCCAGCGAACCACTGAGGGCTGCTCGGGGCTCCTGCTCTCTGTTGCTGATGCCTGACAGCTCTTACTGCCTGTGGTGAATGTGGATGAAGTCTTGAATACCTGCGCTGTGGTTTGAAAGGTCTAAAATGTCTCAGTTTTCCATTTCTAGGATGTAATTGAAAATCCTCATTCTGTGTCTCTTTCTAGTGAAGTTTTTCTTATGAAGTTTAAGATTTCTTATGCCATTGTGCACCACCACATTACTGAAGGTAATGTGGCAGAGGGGAAATGTCTTAATTCCATGTTTTGTCTCCTTTTTCTGTCCTTTTGGTTTAAACTAAGCCCTACAGGGGCTGGAGGATATTGCTTGTCAGAGCTGTAGAAAAGCTTTTGTGTCTGACTGCTTGTCCATTGCCTCAGCTGAGTACCTCATTCCTCCCCGACTCTTTGATATCCTGAGATTTTCTCCTGCCACAGCAAACCTGCAAAACTCTTGACTTAAATGGGTCTTTTTTTTGGTAACTTAATGCTACCTTTTCTGAAAAACAAATCCTTGAAAGCTGCTCCACAGTATCTCATGTGTTTACATCAAGGCAGATCAAAGGTCCCATTAGCAAAATATATTCTGGACAACTGCAAATAAGAATAAATTGTTTGGGAGTACACTAAATGCTGTGGAAATATGTGATATCTAGAGATGCTTGGGGTCCTCAGGAGAAAGGCCGGATTTCGGGGGAAAAATTCTTGTCAAAGGTTTTTCAGAAAATATGTCCATGACAGGTAAGCACAGTTCTTCCCCTGAGCTCCTGGGAACCCACACTGTGTCCTGAAGCAGAGAATTTGGTTTGATTGTCCTGAGATTTGTTTTGTTTCCAGAGCTCATTGTGCATCCCTTGCACTCTTGTAGAGTTTACTTTGTTTTGTTCCTGTTCCCTTTTCAGTCCTGCCTGAAAAATCACTGAGCTTTCTAGTACTGTAATAGCCATCATTAATAATAATACCTTTAAATTATTCTAGTTAGTCTTTTTAAAGCATTTTCCTGACTACCTTCTTCTTTGCTAATTGCCTTTCTCCAGTGCCCTGAGGAAACCTGAATTTCCCAGAAGTTTTGGAGGGAAGGACAGGGAACTTGGCTGTGATATTTATACATTTTTCCTAAATGTAGGAAATTTGTCAGCTGCTGGAGAAGAAATACAATTTTTATGGCCCTATTTGTGCCCAGAATGGGGAGATAGTGGCCAGAGAACACCAGGGCTTTTCAGACCATCACAAAATCAAAAGTTCTGGGCTTTTCCGACCATCAGAAAATCATCTGCTGTTCCTCTCCTCTCCCCTGCTGCTTGAAGCCAGGTGCCCTGGTTAAATTGGTTTAATTATTGGTTAAATAATGATGGGGATGCCATGAAGAGGCTGAGATGGGGGTTCAGTAGCCCTGAAGTGGGTGGAGGAAAGGTTTGAAGTTGGTTTGGGGTTCCCCTCAGCCCTGTGTCCTCAGCAGGGCCACTCAAGGACTATTCAGAAATTCAGCACTATTCAGAAATCCCTTCCAGAGCTTTTACCAAAAACCCTCCAGACTCTTGAGTTGAACTGGCACCCAGAGAATCAAGGCTGGGCAGGAAAATCTGGAGAAGGCTTCACTTGCAGGTGTTTGAAACCAAGGAATTTCTGTGACACTTAATTGAAAAATGATCATTTTCTGGTAAACCATAACAAAAATCTCCAGCTAACTCTGAATCCAGCTTTCCCTTTCATGCAGGACTTTTTTTCTCAGCTGTCTCTCCCCTTGGCTGTGCCCAGCCTGCAGGATTCTGAGCTCTGGAGTTGAGGAATTGTTGGTGATCAGGGTGCCCTAAATGCCAGGAGCAGATGCAATAAAGAGCTGTTCCTTTCCACTTGAAATGCCTGTTGCCTTTGCCAGGCAGCCAACACTGTAAATTCATTCTGACTATTTAAAAAAGACCTTTTAGAGCTTTTGAGTGGTTTCTGGCTTATTCTGTAGCAATAAAACCACAGTGGCTGGGAGTCAGACGTTCAGGACCTCACCAAGTAACTCAATACAAGATATTTGGGAGCCTTGTGAAGTGCTTAGGAACGAGATAATTATACTGGCCTTTATCCCATTGTTTTCCTGCTCATAATCACTGCCCAGGGCTCTGTCCGGTGGCATTTGGGATTAATGTGGAACAAAAAAATAGGGCAGGGAATTGCAAAGTGGGAATCCCACCTGCTGGGGGGTGGTGGAACAATGGTGTGAAGAAAACAGGGGAAAAGGCAAGTGGGGGATGAATTTTCCTTCTTATCCTGCAGATAATTTTCCTTCTTATCCTGAAGAATTTTCCTTCTTGTCCTGCAGAATTTCCCTTCTTATCCTGCAGAATTTCTCTTCTTATCCTGCAGAATTTTCTTTCTTGTCCTGCAGATAATTTTCCTTCTTGTCCTGCAGAATTTCCCCTCTTATCCTGCTGCACAGCACTCAAAGAGGAGCTCAGACATGGCTTGTCTTGCCTGGTTATGTAAGGGCAGATTTCACCCTTGGAATCCATGGCAGTTTGGGTTCCAAATCCCAATTCTCTCATTCCCTGAGGAATTCAGCCCTGAGAGCCCGAGGACAGCAGAGTTCAGCAGTGAGGGATTGCAGGGCTCACTGAGGCTCTGCCTTCCTCTGTCACCCTCACCTGGCAGCTCTGGTGGTCACTCAGGTGATGGAAGGGTCCTGATGAGAGATGATTTTCCTGCCTGACTGGGACCCAGTTTGCCAGCCCTGGCATCTGAGCAGGGCTTTTCCATGCAGCAGGGAAGGATGTGCTTGAGAAGGCTGATAAATGGTCTGTGAAGATTGGTCTGATACCGTTTTGGCCTTCTGGGAATGAGGACCTCATTGCAGATCAAATGTCTGATCTTTAAACTGGCATAAATCAGCATCACTCTAGAAAAGTTAATGGAGTTGCGCTGATTTACACCAGCTGAATTTATACCATCAAAAATCATTCATTTGCTCTGTCTCTTCTCCGCTTTTCCCCCCTCCTTGGATTAGAAATGAAGTCTATAAAGCTAATATGGTCCCTGCAGCAGCATAACTTCCACAGAGTGTTTGCTTGAAGAGGTTAAAAGCCCTATAAACTGCTTTACATTCTCTAATAATAAAATGCAGATGCAAAGGGGAAGGATTTGATGGTCAATTAATACAGAAACCATCCAGTGCTTTGCATAGGTCCTGCTCCTTGGCTTTGAAATACTATGCCCAATTAAAACCTTCCCCAGAACTATACCAAGATTAAAAAAGTAATAATAATCTGCATCACTCTAGGTAGCATGCTGCACTTTTCAGGCTGCCTCTGAGCTATGCCTCATAAACTCTTGGATAAGATTTGTCTGGGTGTTTCCAAGTGCAACTGCTCCTGGAGCAAAGCTGCAAAGCAGCATTCAGCAGGCAAAGCTGGAGAGTTATTTTATGGGGGAAAGGAGGAGGAGGGGGGTAAGGAAAGTGTTGAGAATCCCTCGTGCATTCCACTGAAAGGAAAAGAAAATTGTAGTTCCTGTAAAGGTTCTGGGTTATCCAGAGGGTGCTGGGCTGTGCCCACAGAGTGGCTCTGGTGTGGGCTGACACAAATTCCAGTGAATTTGCAGCTGGGTTGAGTGATGGCCACTCCAAAGGAACAGTGCAGGCTATCGAGACATTATTTGGTGGATAGCATCTGGATTTAATAGTCCAGAAGGCAGAAGAAAAGCCTTTCTCTAGCAGAGCTGAAAGGGTATGTGACGGTGTTCACAGGGGTCCCAGGATGAGGGAAGATATGAGAATGCTGACTCCATGTTTTAGAAGGCTTGACTTATTATTTTATTATACATATAATATTAAAACTATCCTAAAAGAAGAGAAGAAAGGATTTCATCAGAAGGCTAGCTAAGAATAGAAAAAGAATGATAACAAAGGCTTGTGACTGACCGAGACAGTCTGGACAGCTGACTGTGATTGGCCATTAATTAGAAACAACCTCATGAGACCAATCCCAGATGCACCTGTTGCATTCCACAGCAGCAGATAACCATTGTTTACATTTTTGTTCCTGAGGCCTCCCAGCTTCTCAGGAGGAAAAATCCTAAGGAAAGGATTTTTCAGAAAATATCATGGCTACAGGCAGAAGGTAGTTTGGGCAGTGAGCAGCACCCACAGTAATCAATCAGTCAATAATCAATATCAGCCATCCCCTTCTTGGCTCCAGGGTTTCTCACTGATACCAATAGGAAAATACATCACCATGTTTTAAGGTCCCTAGTAATTTATTTGCTGTACAGTGTGACAAAAAGAAGGAGAAGCAGAGTTCTGCAGAGGTTTAGATGTCTGGAGACACTCCCTTCTGGAGACTCTCCAGTAGCATTCAAAGGTAAAGGCATCTTGAGCCATAATGTCAGCAGGAGGAGGAGAAGGAGAAGGAGAAGGAGAAGGAGAAGGAGAAGGAGAAGGAGAAGGAGAAGGAGAAGGAGAAGGAGAAGGAGAAGGAGAAGGAGAAGAATAAGAATAAGGAGAAGGAGAAGAATAAGGAGGAGATGAAGGAGAAGAAGAAGAAAGAGAAGGAGAAGAAGAAGAAGGAGAAGAAGAAGACGATGGCGATGACGACAGGGGCTACACCATACTAAAAATCCCAAAACCTAAATTTCTCACCCAAGTGACATACTGTACTACCCTCTATTATCTATTTCACACCTTGGTAAATTCTAATCTATCTCAAAGCCTCAGAAGCCCTCTCCATGGGTGCAGGTTAAAGGCACTGTTTCTCTGGGAGTCAGAGCAGACAGAGCAATGTTCCCTGTGCCCTGGGTTCCCACATAAAAAGTCTGGTGGACCAGCCAGGCTCTCTGCTCTGCTGCACTCTGACAAGGGCTTCCCATCAGGTCCCACCTTGGCTGACTCACTGGACACTGCACAACCTCCTGCACTCAAACCATTCCAGGCAGCAGAACTCTGCAGCTGGGCCTGGAACCAGCTTCCACCCAGCACAGCTGGTGAGGGAGTCTGCAGCCCCTCCACATGCTGATTGCTCACACAGAGCACAGTGAGGGTGGTGGGTCCCATCTGGCGTGCCTGGAGTCATCCAACTCTGTTCTAAGCACTGGGGCTCAACAATGGCTGTTTGGGCTCTGCTGTTGATTGAATGGGATTTGTTGTCCATAATAAAACTCTTGGCACATGATCAGTCACTGTATATAAATCCAAATTACACAACTAACAGCCACAGTCCTGTAGAACAGCTCTGAAACACCATCAGAACGGGGGCCATCCCAAACCCAGGCATTCTGAAGAGCCATGAGAAATCTGGCAGTGCCATTCAGGTCCCCTCCAGGTAGACTTGCAGGTGTAGAACATGGCTGGTGGTTGTCCTTGAGAGCTCCTGGCCTATGTCTAAACCCCAGCACAAAGGCTGGGATGATTTCTGAAGTACCTAGAACCAAACAACAGAAGGTGACACGACACTCTGTCCTTGAGGCCACAATAAACAGCATCAAACAGTTTAACTCTGCTGATTTTACTGGCAAAGCAGGGCAGGGGCCTGCACCAGCAGCATGTCCCCCTCCCAAACCCACAGGGATAAAGCTGACAGAAGCCCAGAAGTTTCAGTCACACCAGTGGCTCCATAACCACAACACGATGCATCACAGCCACCCTCTGGACACTGGCACCTTAAATCAGTGTTAATTTAAATACCAAACAACCACTTATGAGCTTCGACTGAGCAAGATGTCCTCAGGAGAGGAGGTGACAGGTTTGCTCTACTGCTATACCTGTTGGTGGTTCAGTTTAGGGGAGATGGATCTTCTTTCCTTGTTCTGGAATTTCAGGGCTTGATTCAGGTACCTAAATGCAGATGTCCACATCTAGTGCCCCTGCAGATGTGGCAGATGTGCCAGCTCTACACTGAGGTCTCATGGTGGCATGATGGGCTTAGTGGGCAACCAAGCAGTATCCAAGCAGGAATCCAGGAGGAAAATGAAGGTACAGACTGAGGGCTGTGGGGTGGAGCAGAGCTGCTCACACTGAGATACTGAAGGTGCTTAATAATTCAGTTTATCAAAAGGACATCAAGAAGTATCTTATTAAAGATGAAGAGCACTTACTAAAGATGAGATATAACAGAACTCTCTTTAATCTAACAGACAAAGCCATATCAATATCCAGTGGCTGGAACCAAAATTAGACAAATTCAGACTGCAAAGAAAGTGCCAGTTTGTAATTGAAAGAGTAATGAGCCATTGGAATTACTCACCCTGGGCTGTGATGAATTCCCCACCATCTGAGTGGATGCTGTGCTAAAAAGCACCACACTGCAGACACATATTTCAGTGTTGGGGAAATAATGGTAAAGCCTTTCCAGCTTGCATGAGGGTTTTTGTGCTGTAAAACACAAACAAAAATATCAGACTGCTCAGTTACAGATGGAGAAGGAAAGCAGAGTGAAAGTGGACAGCCTGTGACAGTGAGGCCTTGAGAGGCTGCCTGGAACAGAGCTGGACAGAGTTAAAGAATAAAGCAAGGATTTATTAAAAAGATCTTCAAAGGATCCACCTTGGGCAGCACAAGAGCCCAGCCAGGGCTGCACCCAAGATGAACCAAAATGGATTCAGAGTCAGAAAATTTCACACTTTTATAAGTTTTGGTCCATTTAGATACTGGGGTTAATTGTCCAATTCCAGCTCCAGGTGATGCAGTCCCATCCCTCCAGATGACTTTTCTGGAATGACTGCCCAGGTTTGGATCGGCTGTGGGGTTTGGGGAAGCTGAATGCACACACTGCTTTCCCGGGAGCAGTGGGTACAGCCCAGCCTGAAGCACAGGATGGATGAGGAATCCATCCCCCACTTTGGGAAATACAGCAGTCAGGATGCCAAGAGGGTGGTCTGCCTCTTGATTCAGGAGACAGAATTCAAACTGAAGGCTCCATGTGGAGCAAATTAGCAAAAACTAATTCTAATCCATCCCATGCTGGCACAGAGGCGCGTCAGCCCTGCTTGGAGCTGCACCTCCCTTCAGATCTGGGCTGCTCCTTGTCCTCCATGGAGGAAAAAAGGGATGGGAAGAAGCTGCCTGGCAGTCAGTGTGCAGCTGGTCTGAGTTACTGAGCCTCTGGAGGATCAGCCACTTGCCCCCGTGCCCCAGGATAAATCACAGCCTCCTCCAGTGTGCTCAGGGAGGAGCAGGGCTTGGGTTTCCCACTTTTGACAGAGATGGGGCAAATCAGAAGCATTTTAAAAGAGTTTGTTCCATTATCAGTCTCAATCAAGGGTGAGACATAAGGGATGTAAAACTCAACTCCATTCCATCAGAAGCCAATCCATTTCCTGCTAACAATACCTTAAAAATGTTTTTCAGCCTATTAGCTTTTTGCCCCACAATGCTGCTGTTACTTCTATCTCTATTTTTACCTATATTTAAACCAATATTTAACACCAATCACCTCTATTTTAACCTACATTTAATACAAATCACCTCTATTTTTACCTATATTTTTTACCTATATTTAACACCAATAACTTCTATTTTGACCTATATTTTAACCTATATTTTACACCAATCACCTCTATTTTAACCTATATTTAACACCAATCACCTCTATTTTTATCTATATTTTCACCTCTATTTAACACCCATCACCTATATTCTTTCCCCACATGGTCCTTCTACAATGCATCTTTCCCACTTCTAATTCTCTGAAATATCTGGTGTTTTTGCAAAGCTACATTTTGCAACTTGGTGAAATTTTTTTCCAGTTCAATCTCTCTCTCCACAATGTCATCTCTATTCCATGGCCCTCCTAAGCCAGCACACCTTATCCCAGAGTTTGCACACAGATGTACAAGGCTGTGTGAGCTTTCTGTCAGGTTTTGAGAATTCTTTACAAATCCATTTCTCACATCTCACCCTCTTTCTTGAACTGTAAAAACTTCTTTAATGGTCTTATTTATCACCTGCTGCACACAGTGGAGTACACAAGGCACTGTTACTAATACTGCTGCCATAAAAATCAATATATGGAAAGGTTTAGAGACTGCCTGGTTGAGGAGATGGAAATACTGAGCCCCTATCAGCCTGTGATCATCATCATCACCACCCTGTTAGGGAACTAAGTATCTTTTCTATGTATTCTTTAGTATAGAATAATATTTTTAATATAGTAATATATTAATATAATATAATATTATATTATATTATAGTTTTATATTAATTTAATATAGTATTATATTAACATAATACTGTATTATATTATAGTTTTATATTAATTTAATATAGTATTATATTATAATATGAGTATTATAAAGTAATAAATGGGCATTCTGAGAACATGGAGTCAGATGCATCATTCCTGCTTCAGTCAGGACATTCCCTGAAAATACAATTCTCCTCCATGCCAATTTTAATTGATCCAGTTGCAGAGATGCATTTTGTCCTCTGGGGCTCCTGTACCAAAGGATGTCCAGGAGATCTCTCCCTTGTGCAAAGCCAGCATTGTTTGTTTGATAGCAGAACTTCTCTCTCTCTCTTTCACTTGTTCCTTCCTGCCCCCATTTTACAGAAAATAAAACACTGGAATCCAAACTAAATGGCTTGAGGGCAGAAGATGGCTGTAAAATTAAGTGCTGCTGATATCAACACCCAACAGTATTAATATTTGATATTTTGGTCTCCAATTTGCCAGTCAAGTAAAGCAGAGAAGGCAGGACTTGCCATGTAGAGTTGTCCTCAATGCTAAATCCTGCTGTGAGCCATCAGAGCAAATAAATCCATTTCTCTCTTACCTTGTACTCATGCAAATCACCACAGCAGTGGAATTAACCTGGTGTGAGGCCAGTGTGAGCAGGAAGCATTGGCACCACAGGCAAGGAGAGCTGAACTTTCAGGGTTTATCCCCAAAAACTACCAGTTTGCAGGGAGTTAAAGAGCAGGAAGCATATTCCCTAAGGCAGAGACCCATTTGGAATAAATCTGCTTGCTGGCTGCACTCCTCACTCTGGCAGTCACCTCATTACAATTCAGGCTAAGTTCTGCAGCATGGTCAGCTTTAACTAATAAAGATCTAGCATGGTACCTTGATAATCT